ATTCCCACTGTGCCTGAGCTAGACCACATTCCCACTGTGCCTGAGCTAGACAACACTCCCACTGGGCCTGAGATAGACCACATCCTCCTTGTGTCTGAGCTAGACCACATTCCCTCTGTGCCTGAGCTAGATCTATTCCCACCATGCTTAAGCTAGACCATGGCTCAGAGGAGGAAGCTGAGGCAGATTTCTTCAGGAGGTTGCTCTTCTCTTCCTAGATTTGCCTCCAAAGCAATCTGAAACCTCAGCTTGCAGTTTCCACCAGAAATATGTTAGTGAATAGAAATGGCGGTGATCAGTGGAATTGGAAAAGCAAGCACTCTCTTGGTGTCTGAGGAATACCCGCTCAGTGTTTACTCCCGCACCTAGAATATTAAGTAATGCATTAAAAGTCATCTTGGTTTGTCCAGCACTTCCTAATAATGAGCCCCCTCTTGCCTCTCGCCACTTGTGAGTCATTCATTTGTGTCATGCGGCTTCCATTTTATAGGAGGAAGTTGGGGGTCCCATCATTAGTCAGTCACAGCTTCCCAAGACAGCTGGCCCTTCGCATCCTGAGCTGCTTCACGCCACTGCCTTCTGCTTTGAGGAGCATCTGGCAAACACTGATCAAACCTCATTTTCACTTGCCCGATGTCTATAAAAGCACAATTGGTAAATACTAAAGAGCCATTTTCTCTATATCCACAGTCTCTATTCTCAATTTTCTACTGGTGCCATACAAACACAGGGTTAGCTCACTGACTCATTTAAAGATCTGAGGGGAAGGAACAACAATTTTAAGTTTGTATATCACTCTTCATGAAGATACCGTCACCGTAAGCCTGACGGTTAACTGGCTTCTTCACACTGCCAGGGGTCCTATCACGGCTCATTAAATATGACACAGCCTAAGAAGAACCTCCCAAACAGTTCCATTCTATCAGGACATTGCTTAAATGAAGTCACAATTGGAAACTCACCCAGAATTTGAATGAACCACAAATCCCAAATTTCTAACTTATTTTTATTGCTTTCACCATTTTTACTCTAAGGAAAAGTTGACAGATTTTATCAACCCCAGATAGAAATCAAATCCTGTCTAGAAAGTGGCAGACAAAATAGAAAAGTAAATCAACATTTATGGGCTTTTTTGATACTTGGTGTCCAGATTAAAATGCCATCAAGAAACTGTTCTGGTGCCAGAATGATGGGCATTTTGTGGTTTTTCCTTAATGGACATTTTATAGCACTTTTGGAATTCTAGAAGGACCAGGACCATGTGAAACAGTTGATGCACTGCGTCTGAGCCGTGCGTTTCTAGGAATCCATCCTCTCCCACAACATCCCCACATGGGCGTTTACTGATTTCTTCCTGAAAAAAAAAAGAAAGCCAAAGCCTCATAGCTGCAAACACAGTCAGCCTACCTTCGTTCTTGAAGCTCCGAATGATGTTGGCAGATGGCATGGAGGTCCGGTCCGTGGCGAACTTGTTGTAGAGTTCCAGCATGTACTCGGGCGGATCCACTTTGGCCGCGTCCTGCAGGGGAATGTCGGACAGATTCAACGTCTTGAGAAACTCGTCCTTCATGCTCTGCAGCAGCGTGTTGAAGTCAATACCATCTTGCTCTGTGAAGATATCGTCAAAGAAGGGCATGTCTTCTTCCAGGGGTGACTGCTCAAGGCCCATGATGGGGCTGCCAGAAACTGAGTGAGCCACCAGGCAGAAGACGGCACTTAGCGGCAGGACCAGAGAACCCATGGTTCTGCTCAGTTCCCCAGGACAACCGAGGAAGGCTGAACTCCCCTGGGCTCTAAGTGGCAGTTTTATCTCGTCGAGTGTAAATGTCTTATGTCACTGGACACGACACGACTCAAGTATGGAAACTCTTCCTCTCTCTTCCCCTCCCCCTGCACTACTCCCCACCCCCGCCAAAAGTCAGGTTGCAGTAATTGGAATGCAGAATCCCCTATAGGGCCTAGCCTTCTCTTATCTCCACAGTGTAAACTTGTACACCAGATTTCATTTTTATCTTGCAACCCCTTTTTCTTTTAATGAGCATTTTGTAAACATTTCCACATTCTGACACTGGTGAGGGATAAGACAATTTTCTCTTCGCAAAGGCTCTGCTATTCTTTCTTTCATTTGACTTCCTTTTGGTAGGAATGTCTGGATTCTGGGCTTATGGGATTCGGTTTTGCACGTGTGTAGGGCAGATATTAAAAATCAACAAAATGCACACCAGTGGCGATGCATATAGATTCAAATGGCAGGGCTAACTTAAAGTTAAGTGGATACAAATGACTCAGAAACAAACTTTGAAGTATTTGCTTTTAGAAGCAGGGAAGACTGAGAGTCACGGTCATTTTCCTATAGATTCGATCAGGCTAAAGTAAAGCCAACGCCTGTTTATAATGAGGTCTGGAGTGTGGCATGGTGAGGAACTTTGCAGGCATCATCTAATGCACTTCCTCTAATAACCCCGTTTTCATTCCTGTTGTGTGCATAGACTCCTGAAGTCCTGCAGCTGGTCAGAAGTCCCTGAACTGCGCAGTCGTGAAGCCCCAGTTAAGCCCAGGCCATCTGATTACTGTGGACTAGAAACGGCCCAACTTTGTAACCAAGATTTCACTAGACCAGGAATGAGTAGTAATAGCAACTAGACCCCAGCCCAGCCTTCTACATGGTAGGCAACGAGAAGGCAGGTAGCTAGGTGTGGATTCAGGTCCTATGCTTGTGATACCTGATCTCAATACATACATGACACATGACCAAGATCTCTGCCAAGTTCACCTCCAAGACTGAGTCCAAAGCTCCAGCAGCTTGGCCATCAGCATTACTAAACAGATAAAAAATGCCAAGCATCTTGGTGAGAGGGGGTGGGGCTGGTATAATTGATTGTGTGTCCACTTTAGGAATAACAAGCCAGGCTAACCATACAGCCCATGCTAATTGGTGGCAGCAGGAGGCATGGTGCTGTCCTGGTGGCTCAGTAGACAGCTCCAAGGGGTGATTTCCCAAGGGACGATTATAATGAAATCTCTTGTGCTTGCTCAGTATGTTCCCTGTGCAACTCTGCTGGCGGCCTTCGGTGCATTCTGAGGACACTAGAATACTGTCTTGACTTCTTGGTTAAGTTTTTCTGCTCTCTTTCTAACAGGCTAGCCACAGTACTCCCCTTTGCCACTTTCTCTGGTTCCCCAAGTTTCTAATCACCTTTTGACTCTTTCTCATGCTCCCTGGATGTTTGCAGCATTCATTTTGAGCTGTCTTCGGAAAAGTCTTCTTTAATACGACTCACTGTCTGCTTCTCTGGTAGTTGATTAATATCCAGTGTTTTGACCATTTTTTTCTGCAGTAGCAAAATGGCGACTGCAGACTGGAAACAGATGGCACCTGAGCAGGCCCTCCAGCAAGCGAGTCCCAAAACCGTGGCCCACTCTACCGTGGTGCATCTTAGCACGGGGCTCCCGAACACATGATGGCAAGGCTTCCGTGTCATGCGCTGATCAGGACAAGCACCCGCTTATCTTCACCCACACGTGTTGGCACACACCCCAAAATTCTGAATGGCAGGTGTGTACATCAGAACAAATGGTTGCTCTCCAGTCCCAGGGTGCACTAATTTCAAAGGTCCGAGGAGAGACCCCCCCCCACCACCACCACACACACACTCGAAATTGAGCTCATCACACCCCCAGGAAGAAAAATGTGCCCTGGAGATTTCACTGGTTTCCGTGTATGTGCTTGGTGAGAGAGAAGCTAACCATCAACGTGTCTTTAGCTGCTTAATAGTTGTGCCAGGAAAATGGGCACAGTTCCACCTCCCTCGCTCTATCACTGGATTCTAGACCACAGCTAGAGTGGCAGAATTGGGCTTCTAATTTTATCTCATTTTAACCGTTGGCCTTTCAATAGCTGCTCTTAGCTAGTGACTGTCATGTTGGACAGTGTGATCCTGGATTATATTCCATAAAAATAAACATAGGAATAGAGACAAGGGCTAGTAGGTAAGACTCCCAATTTAATACAACACCAGATTGTTCTCCTGAATAGGTTTCCTTGCCAGCATGTGCCAGTGCACTTTGGGGGTTCTGGATGAACTGAGTGTCTCTGCACACACACACACACACACCCCAACCCTGAAACTCCTGAGAGATGGGAATTTGAAGAAGGGAATTAAGAACAGCTGTGTAGGTACGGAAATATTAGATGGGGGATTCGTGATAAATGTTAACGTCTATCAAAACGTCTATCATAACATGTATAACAGTACCATATCATAGGGATAAATCAAAATATAGAAAGAGCCTGGGAAAAGGTTCACAGCTAAGGAAAGTTGGTCAAAAAATAGCTGATACCATGGCTCAATGAGGAAACAACAAACAATAAATAATAAGGAGTCGCTTACTGAAATATCGATTGTCTGTGCCATTCTTTACACACAAAAATCAAGTTTGGATTGATGCAGAGTTCTCACAAAAGAGGAAATCTGAACTTTAGGGAGGGTCCAGCGAGAGGGTCCCTTTTGTCCTCACATCTGTGGCCACTGCAACCACAGAGGAAAGCAAAGACAGGAGTGCTTTCCTGGTCGGCTTAGAAAACGGAAAAAAGGAAGGACACGTGTAGAGAAAGAGGTACGCGTGAATGCCAAGCGTCTGAAGATGAGAATGTCCCTTGGAACAGTGAGTGGGACACACTTTAAATCAAGCTGGCTCTGCTCCCCCTCCTTTCAGGAGCACAGCCTGGAAAGGGCAGCATTTAGATGTGACAAGAGGTTACACCGCCTGCAGTTTAAGAAACATCATTGTTGTTCTTAGAGCAAACACTCCATGTTTAAGTATGCTTTTTAAGTAAAAAATGTTAAAAATGAAAATGCCCTCCGACCTAGGATATCCTGGGAGTGGAGTGGACAGCCCATCAGAGTGCTCTTCGCACACTGGAGGTGTTTGACAGCTGCGCTAAGCAACAGCCCAGAGAGCAGGGGAGAGGATGCAAAGGCAGCCGGCGCGCTCTGCCACCGCAGGAGATAAGTCAAGCCCTTTAACACCAGCGGCTGCTAAGGGCTTATTCCACACTCGGAGCGAGATAAGCTGCCCTTCATGCCTCGCAGCACACCCCAGTCAGGAAAGCAGCTCAGAGAAAATCCAAGCGAGGCAACGAGGTGCAGACAATCATTCTAGGGATGAAAATGAGCAAACTTCAACTTGTTTTGGTTTTAGTTTCTCGAGTATCTATCTGTCGAGAGCCCGCACTTCAGAAGGACTGGCATTTCGAAGCATGTCATCACCACAGGGTCCGCACAGAGCCACCTGCCAGGCACTTGGCACCCACAATCCGAGCCCCGATGTCTAAAGTACAGTTTGTTTTCTCCTTTTTCTGAAGCACCCGAGTCCAAACAGTTAGATGAAGTGACTGGGTGCTGCGTGCTTAGAGAAGCTGGGGCCACACCCTTGCCGCTAATTCCTCCTAATTCTCTCCACCGCTTTTGTTAGGCTGGTGGTTCACAGAGTTGTTGTGACGATACACCTGAGTCAGATACATTAGCGGTCTCCCTGTGTTGTCTGCTAAGCTAATTTCCCTGAGACTAATGAACCCCCTGATGTTCTTGTATTTCCTCATTCAGATTCAATTTCAAGTGTACCGTTTCCACTTAAGAGCAAGCCGGATATGAGTCTACTCCCCCACCCCTTTTCTTTTCTTTCTTTCTTACAAATGCAATCACGCCGTCCGTGTCCATAGACTTCAGTGTAAACAAGTTTTGGAAGAACAGTTCGCGTCTTGACTTAGAGCAACCATCAGCAGGTCCCTGCCCACAGAGCTACCAGGTAAGGTGAGCCACACTCATTATTCCAGAAGGTTGGAGACCTGTAAGAAAAGGCCAGTAGGCCAGTCTGTGGATGCCAACGACACAGCATGAGGCCATATCGTCATTGAGGATATCACAAATAAATCTCGATTTCCCATTCCCACAATCCACCGGGGCAACAGTGTCACTAAAAAGGACGAGGCTCTGAGAGCTGGAAGAGAGGCCAACCTGGCGAGCTTCTAACCCTGTCAGGAAGAGACAGAGAAGCAGGAGGGGAAAGAATGGGACCTGTCTTGTCAGTGAGCGCCGGGCTCCTGCTGACTTGACCTGGACAAGGATCTGCAGGGAAGGTCTTAATTAAACCATGGCCGGTGCATCAAATCAGAGCTAAATGTGATTTGTCTTCATTAACTACTGTGCATAAAGGAGAAAAGTTTCTGGAAACTGTGGGCCATTTTTGAAAAATTTTATTTAAAGTGTCTTTATAATGACAAACTCTTTGGTAGAACCAACCTCGTGGGGAAGAGAAAGTCACGCTACCTTCAAGCAATTTTCCTCTTTCCCCAAAGTTGGGACTGTTAGGGTCAGAGTCTGCTCTAATGCGGTTTGCGAGGCAATCACTCTGGTTATGAAATCCTGATAAGCCAGGGTGAGTGCAGACAGGCGACAAGCTGGATTTTAAACAGGGGTCTTCAATAACCTGATTTTGATCCAACTTATATTGAGTGTCCCCAGAGGATCAAAACCACGTATATGATCCTCCACAAGTGCTCCCAAGTTATTACCAAATGGTCTCTCATGGCTGTTTAAGACTCGCCATTAATTATTCCCGAGGACTTGGAAGGGCTAGCATTGATAACAGAATTCCTTAAACAGGCAGCCGACAGCTAAACCATGCTCGACTCACTCAATAATGTGTGTGTTCACAAAGATTTCTGCAGTTGCCTTGGTTCTTTTCTCTTGCTACTCGGCGACCATGGGTTTAGTAAGATGAAACCTCCCCGTGCATTGCATAAT